AGAAACGATGTACAAATGCGCTTTACGCAATTGATGTGTGTATGGATTGGGATAACAGTTGTATGAGCCCCTAATAAAATGTTAAAAAAAAAAAAGAAACACCTGCTAACTTGCAGTTTAAGGGGAATCTATTCTCCCATTTCCAGACCATGGTACAAATGGGTTTAACATGTAGGGAGAATAGCTGTTTGTATGTTTTCAATGTGTGCTTTTGATAACAACTAGGATTGGGTATTTCAATTAGTATATTTGTGAATTTAATAGCATTAAGATTTTCCTTTTGAAAAAAAAAATCTCAAAATTCATAGATACGTATAACTAGTTTTGTTCCTTTTGTGAATTATGATTATCATAATTGTTATCTATAGTATGCAATAAGGCCTTACACAGTTTCATTTGTAAAAATTACTTTTCAGATGTCAGTCCTTTCGCACCGGGGGTTGGTTCTCGAAGTGATATCCATTACCGACACCGAGGTGTTAGTATAACAGAAACGGGTCTTGAAGGACTTCTGTTTGGAATGCTGGACCGAGAGACGGACAGAAAGCTATGTTCTGATGTTCATGACACTCTGGGCCATATGCTGTCATCGCTGGCAGTAGAAAAGCTGTCCCATTGGCTAATGCTTTGTAAAGATGTTCTGGCAGCTTCTAGTGGTATGTATTTAATATACTAAATATGTTCTTAAAATAATTAAAGTGATTTTTTTCAATTTATATATGAGTATATATACATATATGCATAAACTTGAGTTTACATTTAAATTTACTAGTAATTTTGAATCTTTAAATCCTTGTAAAAATGTTAAAGGTTAAGTTATAAATGATTGAACTTCCTGTATGTTTTATAAAAATAGCTAAGTTGAAACTCAGTTTTCGTATATAAAATCCCGTTACATAGATTGCAAAACAAATTAAAAAATGCATAATATAGGAAACAAACCTAGGGGAAAATAAGTTTCATTTTATCCTTTCCTTGGTATTAGATTATTTAAAAAATAATAGTTAACTTGACACTTGTATTGATTTTGAGAGAACGAGAACTTTATCTTTTTAAAATGAGAAATCTTAATGTCAATGCCAGTGGTGAAACGCCTGTTCTACTGGATGTGTGACTGTCACACTGTGCTTACCTTTGGGTCCCAGACATGAGTGCCGCAGCCCTCCTAAGCAGTGGGAAAGATGACGAGTCCGAGAAGAAGGATGAGATGGATGATGACACCATGTTCACCTCGCTGGGCGAGGACGACAAATCAAAGCCCTTTGTGGCGCCCCGCTGGGCCACGCGGGTGTTTGCTGCTGACTGCCTGTGCCGGATCTTCAGTTTGTGTGAGAATGCAGACCAGGCTCACTTCGACCTCGCCATGGCACGCTCCGCAAAACTGCGAAACCCCACAAGTAAAGTCAAAATCAGCACTTCTTTTTCCCACTGCGTTTTCTAAGTTTGCAGTACTTTCCCTCTATAGCACGGGCTACAAATAGTTCCTTTCAGTTATTTCAATTCCCTATTGCCGTCGATTTCCCCATCTGCATGCCTTCTCCATCCCCATCACACCTTTTGATCCATGTTTGGAAGATAGCTTGAAGAAACTGGTGCTTGTGTGTATGTATAGATATAATGATTTGTCATTGGGATAACACTTTGCCCCGATTTTAGCCCTTCAGTATAAAAGAGGGGGGGAAAAAGGAAAATTAGAGGCTAGCGAATTTTGGGAATGATGAGGGCAACAAATGTATAGATGTGCTTTACACAATTGATCTATGTATTGTGATGAATTGTATGAGCCCCAATAAATTGATTAAAAAAAAAAAAAGAGATGGCCAAACTCTTAGAGTGGCCGTCTGTCTCAGCCATGGAGAATGTCAATTCATGAATGCCAGGGCAGAGTTAAGGACGCTCAGACTTCAGAAAGGCCATTAGATGTTTTTTAAAAGGTGAAAACTATTTGTCAGTAACTCACTGCTGCTTATATTTTATCAGCTTTTTATCTCACATAGCTCCTGGGTCTGATATAGGAAATGTGCAAAGAGATGATGAAATCCAGTAGCTTCATTTTACAGTTGAAGAAACCAGAGAAATGAGAGACGTGGAATAGTAACAGACTCCTGTTCTATACTTTTTTTTCCTCATCATCCTGTCATTTTTTAGATAACTACAGACAAAAATTGAAAATTTCTTTCAGGTTATTTTGTTGTATATAGAGAGAGCAGTGGGGTTATCAAACAGATGAAAAGTAAATGAAGAGCAGGTGAACATCATGTATATGTATAAAGTGTGATTCAATATAAGCTCACTGCCCCCAAGTCACTTCCGACTCATGGCCACCCTGTAAGACAGTAGACTTGCCCCTGGGTTTCCAAGCTTTGTGGGAGCAGGAAGCCTCTGTTTCTCCCGGAATCTAAATATAGGGTATCAGGAAAACACAGTAAATCTCGTATTCAGCCAACGTGTACTGAGCCCTGTCACTTGTCATGAGGCGCTCTGGTGTGTAAGCACTCAACTACTGACCAGAAGCTCCCAAACCCACGAGCTGCTGCTCTGAGGCAGCTGTGACAGTCGCGTCCGTCGAGATTTACGTTTCCCCTGTCCTGTAGGGACACTGATTCAGAAGAATTGTGTCTATAGCCAGCTGGGTTGGTCGTGGTCATTCTTTGCTAAAATTGTGGCTATAAATAAGAAAAGAAACACAAGCTAAAAAAAAAAAAAAGAAACACAGCTATGATTTTGAAAAACTTATAGTCTGGAAGATAGAGTCTGACTTATCATTCATAAAATTATTATGTGAATAGCAACATTGTCTACATTAATGGTAGTATTAATAGGATAACCATATTACCTATGGGG